TGACCCTAAAACCGTGATACAAACCGAACCGTGCCACCCCTAATAAGCATTAATAATGAGAGCAGATAAATTTAGATGATGTCACTTTACTTGTACATTTTCTTTCTCAACTGTTTACGTTCACTTAAAACATAAATTAGCCCAAGACTGGTTGCCCACTGAAGCTAAGCAGGGTTGAGCCTGTTAGTACCTGGATGGGAGACCTTCTGAGAAAACCAGGTTGCAACTGGAAGAGGAGTTATTAAGGCCAGCAGTGGGTGCTCCCCCGGTTGTCTGTGTGGGTCCTAACGCCCCAGTATGGTAATGGGGACACTATACTGACAAAGAGCACCGTTCTTCGGATGAGACGTTAAACCGAGGTTAAACCTGTCCTGCATGGCCTCCTAATAATCTCATATATCTAATCCCCTGCAGCCTTGGTGAGCAAAAGATTTAAAAAAAATCTTACAAACCCCCAAACTTTGAAACAGTACTATACGTGCGTGAATTGACAAAATGTTCCGTTCTAAATAAATATATAAGCAAATTTATGAGGTTTATGATGGCACGAAGATAGACAATTCAATTTTTATCTTTGTTCAAATACATTCTCAAAACTAGAAGCAAAACTTAAAGGTTGTTTGTTTGTCATAGTCACTGAGGTTTAATAACATAGTAGCGTGGTCGGTTTTGGTTATGTCATCCTTCATCGCTCAAGTGAGTCGCAAATGGGCAATAAAGAGCCCAATTACAGCTTCTGGCCTCCATTGACTTTGAACACTTTAGACCAAGTAAGTTGGATTTTTACTAATCTCAAGGCAGTTCTGCAGTTTGTGAAAGATTGTCAAGAACAGAAATTGGGACACTGGTTAAATTTGTTCTTTTAATAATACAGCTTTTTAATAAGCTGTCTAAAACAGAAGATTTTCACAAAATTATGGCTAAACATGGAAACTGCACGACTGGCTCGCATTCTCTGTCAAATAGCAGCAACACTGGATAAGTATTAATATCTCTAATTATCATTCAAGGAAAACTGAAATGTGAAAATTTATTTTTATAATATTCTTCTATGTACCTGTCTGTTTTAATTACTGCTGTGGGGGACTCGTGCAAACTGCAAACTTCAAAATTGGAAAATGAACTGGGTTTCTCTGGGATAATGTCATTCGTAGATTCAGTTTCAGCTAAAACCAAAAGCTGTGTACAAGCTTTAAAGAGACAGTTCACAATAATTGAATCAAGTCGTAACAAACCCCTATGAATTCTTCTGCGGAACATAAAATATTTGACTTTTTTTTTCTTTTCTTTTTTTAAAAATGGAAGTCAATGATGATCATCAAAATGGTTTGGTTACCAACATCTTTTAAACTGTCTTGTGTATCACAAAAGAAAGAAAGTTTGAAAGAAAGACAGGTTTGGATCTACAGCTGTGGAATAGAATTAGTTTCTATGATGCATCGCGATGCTAATGTGAATGATTCTGCATCAATGCATAAAAACAAAATAATTACATTTTTAAAAATGTAATTACACCTATCTATCATACATATTAATGTACTGTTTCAGTGTAAATAAATTATTCTTATTAAATATTTTGTTATTAAATAAGTTGTGCATGTCCTTCGGAAGCAAAGCATTTACATCTGTACAAGATAACTCCTTAAAAGCAGATATTTCTAGAAATAAATAAATATCAAGCAACCGAAGGAAACACTCACTGCTCTTGACTGAATAACTTTCATAGGTTTAATAATAATTGACATATTTGTAATTAATACACTAAAGAAAGACTATGCAGCCAGTGAACATTTTTACATATGACTCTTGAATGCTTCTGTTGAATAGATTTAATTTTATTTGTTCTAAAGTTTCTAAACAGTGATAAAATAGCAAAAATGGCCCATATTGTGACTATTAAATAGTATTTATTAATAAAAGAATTGGAGAAAAAGATGCATTATGATTCATTTGAGAATAGTTGTATAATCCAATCGTTATCCTCTGAATCATAATCCAATTGTATCATGAGACAAATTCTATTTGGAACAGACAGAGTAAATGATGACAGAATTAAAATTTTTGAGTGAACTGTCCCTTTAATCATTATTATATTATATAGATGTGAATTGAAGGATTTTTTCCTTCTTTATTTCCCCTTGCTTGGATCATCCTGCGGCCCAGTTCCTGACTATACAATAACACATGGTGCTCTTAAGGTAAGGTATAGGCTAGAAGCAATAATTTCCACATCTACAGCACAACATAAACTGCTTTCAATACATCCAGTAACACATAAATATTTCAGGCGTAGACCAAGCAGACATTAAAACTACAACCTTCATAAAGACGTGTTCAAGACTTTGACTTAACTCTGACCTGAGAACAGTTATTCTTAAAATAAATCAGAATATAGATAGAAAACACTAATTAAAGCTTAACATAAAACCACCAATGATTTCAGTCCATAAAGGCGAAAGGCGTTGTTTTTCGTATTACACAATCCAAAAGGTTGATATATCTGACAGATTCCTGTGCGACGACTTTGAGTCTTCCAATTTACTCTAAACTGTGCAATGAAGCAGTGGTGCACATAATGACCCTATTGTTTGTCAATGCAAATGCCCTGTTAGATAAGTGTTCTGACAGGTACAATATCTCACACTTCCTATCATGAAAGCAAAATAGAGAAAAAGAGCCCTTGTGATGACGTTTATTAGCTTCATGGCAACTTAGGACAAAGCTAAGTTGTACTAGAATGATCTAAAATAAAGCGATTCAAAAGAAATATATTTACAAAAAGCCATGACAGCAACTGCAAGGTGTCCTCTACAGAGTATGGATCATTAATATGCAAGCTATACATATTAAATTTACAAAAAGGAGGATTTAAAAATATGACCGACAACTACCTTGACCATTTTGTATATTATACCGCTGTCACCTATATTCATTTAAATCTAAGTAAGGGATAATATACAGAGTCATTATCACAAAATAAACAGGGTGATCAGGACCTCAACATGAAGCAGCTGGTTAACAAATCAATAATAAAAAAAATAATTACTTCTTTAGCAGCCATAACATAATTACTGCAGTATCCATGATCATTGAACACATGGTGTCAGAGTTGTCTGGCTGTAAAATCTAACAGTAAATTTTAAATGAGTTACATATGCTTAAATATTAAAGTTAATTGTACTTATTAGAAAAAAATGTATGTGAACCTAATAAGTGATTATATTAAGCAGAATGATTTACAGAAGATTTCTAGTCCCTGGCATGCTTTGTTCTTGACTGTTAAATGAGAGCAAGTTTAAATTAAAAAGTTAAAATGAAGTGTTATTTTATGGGTTTGTGGAGAGGGAGAGATCTGTTAGTGTTTAATGTTGTGTTATGTTGGAATTAAAGAGTTTCTGGTATGTCTGAGTTTTGGGGCGTTATCATTGTGCCTAAAAGAAGGGCCTGTGATCAAGTAGAGGATTGACCAAATCACATTCGTAAAACATGTGTACACACACAGATTTGAACTTAGATCGCACCACGTCAGGGTCTAAGCAGATGTACCCTTATCCTTGTTGCATAAAGTTGGAGTACTGCAGGTATTTGGGAATATAAGTAATTCTTTTTGTTTTCCATTCTCAAGTAAAGGATTTGGACATTGACTGGTGATCGTTTATAAGTTAATTACATTAATTAGGGGCCGTTGGAGATACAAGTTTAAGGTTTTAAACCATTCAGCTCTGCACAATATCAGGATAATTTGCATTTTATATATTTCACATCTGGAAGAGAGGTTTTTGTGCTCATGTTCATTATCTGAATCACACGTATGTACATTGGAGAAAATATCGTAAGATCAAATGAAGAGTTCAGATGCAAAAGCCTCTAAATGCCATTTGAAATTTTCTTCTAAAATGACCATTTTTATCAAACTTGTATATTTAAGTTCAGTAATTTCACTTAAATGACAATTAATAGGTAATCTTCATTGCCATTTAAGTGAAATTACTGAACTTAAACATACAAGCTTGATAAAAATGATCATTTTAGAAGAAAATTTCAAATGGCACTTAGAGGCTTTTGCATCTGAACTCTTCAAATGTAGGTTGGTTTTCTCACAACATTTTAAAATGAGGTCAGTTAAAATATATTATTTAAAAAACAATGGCTGTGCACACTTCAGCACACTGATACTGAATGCCAAGCAATTTAATTAATCTTTTTATTACATACAGTATTTAAGTGTATTTATTTATTAATTTAAGAAATAATCTCTTCATGTGGACTCAATAAATATTAGTTTTAAAACTTAAATGGATTAAGGCAATCAGTTTACTCAAATGGTTTGAGGTAATGTAATTTGTTTGGGTTTTACAGTCCACTTATCAGGTAAATAAATACTTAGGCATGAAATATTGAAATTGTATTTAAATGGCGTTAGTAGTAGTGTACTTTCAGAGGACGGAGAAACACCAAATAATTTCTTGGATAAAATGTCCCTTATACAGAAATATTTGACTAATCAGAATCTAAATATTCCATAGAGATGTGTAATAATTTAGCATACAACAATCCAGGCTGCATTACTACTTAGTGTATCAAAACAAAATGAGTGACACGAGTAAACTTATTCAAATATAGGCTACTTCGCTTGCAGGTTTCTATTCAAATGTTATAAAGGTGTCTGAACTCATTTAAAACATTTCAAGCATGACAATTATGTGTATTTGGCATATATTCTACTTTTAAATCTTTTAATTTTACCTCCAACCCACACGTGCTAAAATGCAACCCTGACATGTAGTGACGAATGTTTCTTCAGAACAATCTATGTAAACACACACATTAAAAAAGCTAGTTTCGAACACTTTTGACTATCGTAAGAGCAGAGTTTTCAGGGACAGTTGTTCTGTCAAAAGTCACCCGCACTTGTTTCACAGAGAACCGGTGCGTGAAAAGTGTGAACACACCACCAAAACAAAAACACACCTTTGACCAGAGAAAGCAACACTACTCACCGTCTCTGCAGAGTCTCATGGCTTCGCGATTTTTCCCGCACTCTTTCAAACTTTCTTCCAATTCTGTACCTGAGGAAGCAATTTGGGTCGTGTTACATAAATAGTTACACTTGCTGGCTTGTTCTCGCGTTTCTTAATATTTCAAAACTGCACGCAGTCGGGCAAACACTCGCGATCTGACGCGGCTGCCCGCTGAAACGCAATGGCCGACGGCGGCTGATCAACTCACCGTCGCTCCCGTAGAGTTTCACAGCATCGACCCAGCTGCTCCAAGGCTGTCCCAGCATTATTTCAGGACTAGGCAGGGATCTGCGCTCCGCCACAGTCGCCATTGCTGTGGAGGCTTCTCCCCGCTGGAGCTGTGTCTGCTGCTGCTTCAGCCTGGCCGCTCTGCGCTGCTGCTGCTCCCCCCTGACGTCATCATCGGCCCTTTCCGACATTCTTTCCGCTACAATGTAACAACACAGCAATGAGCCGAGCGGATTCCTTCAATGAATGACATTGAGCCGAACGAGCGATTCATTCACGGGCTCGGTTGTCTTTCTTCCCCCCTGCACGAGACGGCGTGTACCGAAACATACGTTAAGAGCAGATTACTGAGATAAAAGTTTAAGGACGACCTCAAAACTTCCTTTCACTGACGCCTATGCGAGAAATAAGGTGACCATAGGTTTCACCGGAATGTTTACCTTATACTGTCAAACATATTAAAACGTTTATCTTGAAATTATAATTATATTTTTCAAAAAACGACTCAATGGACTTGGGAATTCCCCATTCTCTTGATATTGACGCCCCTTTAGGACATGACAATTGAAAAACAGGCTACCAGACAAATGAAATCCACATCAAATTTTTTTTACACATATTCCTTTGTATGACTTTCTTTGACCAACACAAACAAAAATCTAATCTCCCTGGTAGCCTACTGTTTTTGACAAAATTTACTTTCCACTTTGAAGGGTCTAAAATTTTATACAGCGTTATCAACTACAAATAAAAGTGCATACTGTCTTGGTTTCATGTGATTTTGTTTGTGTGTGTGTGTGTGTGTGTGTGTGTGTGTGTGTGTGTGTGTGTGTGTGTGTGTGTGTGTGTGTGTGTGTGTGTGTGTGTGTGTGTGTGTGTGTGTGTGTGTGTGTGTGTAAATAGTCAAGACTACAGTGGTTTAATTTCAGTTTGTCCCTCTGAAAGGAATGTAAAACAGTTCAGCTACCATATCTGACACACAACTATTAAATATTTATATTCAAATTCTCTAATTTAACTGTCATATTAAGATTGCTTTTTCATATAAATCTTGATCACAAAACATGTAAACATGTCCATGGTCACAATTGGGACCAGTAGGAAACTCAGAGCCCCATTTTATTTATTTGCATTACATTAATAAAGCATAAAAGTAAAAATAAATGTGCTTTTGTTCATGGATTTCCATTAGCCCACAATTGATAGTAAAATCAAATATTAAATAATTATTGTTTATTTGCTCTTAATGAGAAATATTTGACTCTCTAGTTTCCTTTCTAGTTGGAATTGTGACTAGAAATAAAACACATAATTTATTTAAAAAAAATGTTTCAATGCATGCAGTTTGTTACATTGGTAAATCCAAGGAGCAAAACGTGTTCATTTAAAAAATTGGGGATTAAAGGGGTTAAAACAATAGAGCATATAGCAAACAATGGAGAGACATCTACATGGCAGGCCATTTTAATGACAGCCAGAAATTAATCATTTGATGCACTGAACATCAAATACTGAGTGATTTGACATTTTCAACAGTCATTTATCCAAAGAACAGCTTGACTCAGTTGCATGAACCGGCAATTCTTTACCAAACTTTCACAAACACTACCTGGTTGATAATTAAAGTTAGAGGTAAGACTGTTATAAAGTATATACATACGTGCGTGCTCTAAATTTAATGTACTCTGATCAGCCATGTGTTATGCATCACATTTTGGAGCACAGGCATTAGCAAATAATTTCTAGGCTATACTTAGCCATTTCTCCTCTTGCAAGAATGTGTCTCTCATACACAATCAAATATGTCTGGGCCAATTCATCTAGAATAAGAACAGATAGTAGAGGCAAGCATGTCTTAATAAGATACAAAATAGCTTTAAGCTGATTTTGTGATTTATGCAGTTAAATTGCAATAAGTCATTACCTAAATGCATGTGTTTATTTTAAACAAAAGTAAGTCTGTAGGATATGTAAGACCTGGGTCATTTAAAAAAAAAATGTTTCTGTTTCCCCATGAAATTATCCCATCATTTACATCCTAAGTGTATATGCTTTTCTTCTTTCAGCCAAACAAAATCGGAGTTATATTAAAAAAATATCCTGGCACTTCCAGCTTTATGTATGCCTAGCAGTGAATGGTACCTTTTTTGAAGCCCAAAAAAGCGCATTCATCCATCATAAAAGTAATCCATACAGCTCCAAGGGGTTAATAAAGGCCTTCTGAAGCGAACCGATGTGTTTTTGTAAGAAAAATATCCATAATTATAACTTTATAGACGCTAATTACTAGCTTCCAGTAACGTTGTTAGTCCACGCGTTCACGAGAGAGTCGAGTTTCGAGATGTAAGATGTAGGAGTAGCGTAAGCTCAGGTGAGTACCTCTCGCAGTTAAAAAAAGTAGGAGTGGGCAAGAAACTCAAGCTCCTCTGACATTTCTCTTAAAAAAAATTATCATTTTACGCTTCCGTGTTTGTCAACACATCATGCGCTAGGTCAGAGAACACTCTTCCACCTGACTCGAAGTATGGCCGTAACCGGAAGCCAGTGAATATAGTTGATAAAGTTTTAAATATTGATATTTTTCTTACAAAAGGCCTTAATTAACCCCTTGGATCATGGTTTACTTTTATGATGGACAGATGTGCTTTTTTAGGCTTCAAAAAATGGTACCATTCACAGCCAATATAAAGTTTGGAAGAGCCAGGATATTTTCAATATAACTATTTGAAAGATTAAAGTCATTTACACCTAGGATTGCTTGAGGGTGAGTAAATTATAGGATAATTTTCAATTTTGGGTGAACTAACTCTTTCAAGGTGCAATGTGTAATTTTTAGCAGCATCTAGGGGTAAGGTTGTGAATTGTAACCAACAAAAGTTAGTGGCCGACAGGAAAATATGTTGTCTGAGACAGCAGAGAGCAGCCAGTTCAGCATTGTTTCTTTACAAAGATAAATTAAGAAATTATGTTTACTTATTTATTCAGTAAAACGATATGTTATTGCGAATATTATTGTTACTTGCTCATCATTGTGTCAGTGTTCTATATTTGCTGACTTTAGCTAGCTTCTTTGCACGCAGATAAACATAGTAACGAAACGCGTTTGTCCATTTAGGGCCACTGCAGAAACATGTCGGCGCAATTCAATGTAAGGGGACCGGTCCCACGGTGTATGTAGATAGAAATGGCTCATTCTAAGGTAATAACATTATAACGGTTCATTAAGAAAGGTCTTTATTCACCACTGAAAACATAGCTATGAATATGATATTGCATTTCTGTCAACAGATCCAACCAAATGTTACACAATGCACCTTTAAATGTATTTAAACTTGTTTCCACTGTGAAAAATAATGCATTATGTGTTGTGTAAATATAGAGGAATAGTCATTAAGGTCCATTCACACCAAGCACTATCGTGATAAAGTACAATAAAAATAACTATATTATAGGGGTGTAACAATGCATTGTGTCACACAATAAAAAAAAATAATAAAAAAAAAACTACATATATCGTCGTTAGGGTTGGGTATCGAGAATCGAGTATCGTTTGGAACCGGGACTAACTTTTCGTTTTTCCCGGAATCGTTCAAAAGTTCAAATTTCGATTCCTAGTTTCGATATTCATAGTCCGCCGAGCTGAAGAAGAAACCGCTGAACAACACCAACGAAGAAGCGTCTACCGGAAGTGTTGGTATAACCGCGTGAGTCGAACATGAGTAGCTTACGTCAGCGGTCCAAAGTGTGGCTTCACTTTTCTAAAAATAACGAAATCTCGGCAAAATGCAAAATTTGTGACAAAAGGAATATTTGTGACAGAAGGAGTATTTCCTTCAGAAAGGATTATTTCCTTCAGAAATACCGTTGGTTAGCAAGGTTAGCTAAACTTTTTTGACCCTGCCTCTTAAAAGAATCGAAATCGAGAATCGTTAGGAACCGGAATCGAAACAAGGAATCGGAATCGGAATCAGAATCGTTCAAATTCAAACGATACCCAACCCTAATCGTCGTGGATAGTGACAATCTGCACTGTGAATAGCTCACCCAAAATGAAAATTGAAAATTATTGAATGAAAATTACTGTGTGAGAAAAAATTCAAGTTTACAGAGTTTTAGTGTCAGTACTTCATTAAACTACTATATACAATGTTGAATATAATGTATAATAATGCAATGGGGGACTATTTGTGCGTCCTGAATCCTGATAATGCCAAATGTTTTATGTTACCAGTAAATGCATCTAGACAGTGACGCATATTCATCTAAAATAATTCTGTATTTTCAGTTTCAAAATGATGAATATTTTATTCTAGTGTCACCTTTGTCCTGTCCATTGGGTTACCAGCACCAAATCAAAGCCTATTCATTTTCACCCCCAAAGTAATAATTTAGAATTTTAATCAATCAACCAAAGCATTTTTTGTTAACTTTTTACCATGTGTCCTGGAGTATCGCAATAATATCGTATCTTGAGTTCAGTATCGTGATATATATTGAATCGTGAAATTAGGGTATCGTTACACTAACTATATTAGCGTAAACACCAGCGGACGATATCGTTCTGTTTACTTTAAGCGCATACATGTCTGTCACTTCAAATGCTCGAGCTTGTTACAGCGGGATTCTAATCGGCTGTCTATGATTTTATCATTTATCAGCCGGATAAAATCATTCTGAAAGTGATTCCAACCTCTGTACTGTTATCGTTATAGCTGTGGTGTGAACTGCTATTCTTTAACATTGAGAACGATTTCTAAAATTATATCTATAAACTAAAATGTATCTTTATAGTTATCGTCCTTGGTATGAACAGGCCTTTACTGTATAATAATGAACCTATTAACAATACATTCCCATAGCCCATTAAAGGAGTAGTTCACTTTAAAAAAAAAAAAACTTTTGCTGATAATTTACTCCCCCCCCCCCATGTCATCCAAGATGTCCACGTTTTTCTCTTTTCAGTCAAGAAAAAAAATTAAGGTTTTTGATGAAAACATTCCAGGATTTTTCTCTATATAATGGACTTCAATGGGAACCAAAGGGTCCAAATGACAGTTTCAGTGCAAACTGTTCAAAGGGCTTTAAACAATTTCAGACGATGAATAAGGGTCTTATCAAGCGAAACGATCGCTCATTTAAAAATAAAAAATAAAGTTTAAGTTTTATAGGCTCAAATGGTCGCCTTGCTTTGTTCTATGATGCACGTTCGTGACTCTCCTGTTCGAACTCGTTTATCAAAATGAACGAATCTTTTTTCGTGTCATTTGGTTCATTCAACAAACGAAATGAATGAGTTGACTCTGCAAAAGATTCGTTCTTTTTGATGAACGAGTTCGAATAGGAGAGTCACGAACGCGCATCACAGAACAGAGCAAGGCGACCATTTTTATTATCAGCAAAAGTTTTTTTTTTAAACTTTTGAACTACTTCTGCCATGACCTAATCTATCTGATAGGTTTGATCAAATAAAGATACATCCAAAAATTAAAACCCTAGAGTGAAATTGTTCATAAGTTTATATTTATGTTAACATGTCATACCTTGTCAAAAGTAAAAATTGGAACAACACTGGTCAAGTCAGTAGATCCTCATCAGCTTTGGTGATTCCAGACTGCCACACAAGCTGGTGAGGGAATCTGTGGAAAGGACACAAAGGAAAGGCATGTTAGCAGCATTGTTTCCATTCTCAGTGCGTACTAATCAGTTTAGGGAATTGGCCATTTGTTTTTTTGACTAACCCAATCTCAAGGGAAAACATCACTATTTTACCAGGTGGCAATTTCATATCAAAATCATATGACGTGAAGGATACAAAAATGTAGCATGAGGATCATTCCCTAACAGCCAATGGGGAGTAAGCAGATTGTATAAAAACGTATGAAAAAGAACATAAATTCATATGAATTTGACAACTTGCCAAAACGTAAATTAGCTATATGAACTGCCATGAGACTGTGTTGTTTTTGACAGAGGAACTTTCCTGACCTAAGGCCAACAGAATTTTACGGTTGCTTTCTTTACAGGTTTTTACTAGCTCAAGATCTACTTAAGGAGGAGCCCGTCGCTACAGAGTAATCCAATCCAATAACAACTATCCCCGGCTAACCATCTGAGAGCCCTTCAGTTGACAGCCTGATAATCCGTCTCAGGGATATAAGCAACTAGTGAAAATGTTTTGACTTTCTTGCATATGCTCAATTCAACATCAAAATCATAACCTAATTAACTTACATGAAAAAAGCAGAATTCACACTGTATGAATTCATCCATTTATGTAAAATGAAAAATGGTAAGCCATTACAATACATATCATTAAGTAATAGGAAATAATAGACATACACAAACAGCGTCATTCTGATGTTAACTGAATGACTATTAGCCTGTTGTTTGTGTCGATGGAAAGTGATGAATGCATTACGCATCAAGTGTTCAGGGAAACGGAGGCTGATTGACTTATGATGAGATGTTCTTTGTGACGTCAAAGATTTCCCCTGCAGTGTTTCTACCATTCAACAGAACTAAGGTTTTTCCGTTTCATGTGCAAACACCCACTCTTTGTAAACAGAGTTACACTATAAACAATTAATATTCCAAATTTGGCATGCACAGTTAAAGCCGTTACATACAAAGCTTGTTTGTTCCAATATCATTGAACTACAGTGAAAACAGCCTGTGAGCCATCACAGGTTTTAATTTGAATCTGTTGTGTATATAAATTTAATTTTAAAATCATTAGTCTTTTATGTAGTTACCATTTAATTAATTATTTAATCATTTATTCATTGTGTGATTATTTTTACTGGTTTGTTATTTTCTGTTTGTATATTACTATATTTAATTTCTATTGTTGTTTAATCTTATGAATAAAATGCTCGAGAGATGTTTGTCTTTATGAGCAATAGAATGTAAGAGATACGAGAATTCCTTCATTTCATGATTTTAAACATCACAGAATGTAAACGCTTCTGCTTTGGTATAATAACAGTTGTTGGATTTGTACTGACATACTCTGAGCATTGAAACATACTATTAAAGGTGCAGTGTGTAGATTTTAACGGTTGCGAGTCGCACTAATGGCTCAGCCCACTGCTCACCCCTCCCTTTCGAAGAAGCTACGGTGGCTAAAAAGGGAAAAGCATCGTCGTCTGAGACAGCAGAGAATAGCTGAGCTGGTTAAAGCATAAAGCCTTGTTTAAACTCGACGCGTCCGCATGAGCCCAAAGGTGCACGCGGCAAATTGACGTGATTGTAACAGAGTGCGCGTCTCCGCATCCCCTAGACACCATTTACTACACATATAATGAGTACAATTATTGTTTTTTTTCTCTTGAAAACTCATAGCTATCGATTTAAAATGCTCCCAAGATCGACTTGTCGACCGCGATCAACGGGTTGGTGCCTCCTGTAACGTTACTGTTTTACGGTCAATAGTACTAATCAGCTGATTGTCAAACAACACAGCGAGGGAGAAGAACTAAGTTACATGAAACAATCCAACTACATATTTTACACCACTGACAAGGGAAAAGTCACTACTCACTATGTCTATGGCTAGCTTCTTGCTTTCTGCAGCTTCTCTTTCAAGGTATGAACGAAACGCGCTCTGCAGCGATGTTTGTTCGCTGTCGGCTACGGTAGAAAAATGACATCACAATATGTCGATCTTCATAGAAGGGGGTGTCCGCGGTTATGTAGATATAAATGTCTCATTCTAAGGTAATAAAAACATACGGTTGATTGAGTAAGGTATTTATACACCAAAGAACACTAGGGCTGGGTAATAAATATTGATTTCTCGATATTAATCGATTCTCATTTTTACGAACTGATATCGATTCTTAAATCTCAAGAATCAATTAGTCATCCTGTTTCATTTGAATGAATGAACGTTTTGGCACTGTGGTGTGAAATTGTTCTGCCGCATCTCTCTTCCGGCTTAATAATACCAGTTACAGCGTGAAATAAACATGAATAAGCATCTGAAAGTGTGTTAAAAGATAGACTACAAATTATCGAAATCCGTATCATGTCACATTGATTCGCTCAATCAGTGTTTGAACCGTGGAAAGACGTCAGTTAAACAGTAATCAATGTCATGCATCGTCATATTTACCCCAGAAAACCCACGTAAACCCGTTAGTCAACTAGAAAAAAATAACTATAGAGATGAGAATTTTGCTAAATCTATACACCATATTACATATGCATTATAATCTTAATGTTTTTCAATATTTAATGCATATTTGAATAAATCTGGCAAGTTTGTATGACAGCCACCATTTAAATGTATATATTTCATATAATCTTCTTATTATAAAAATAAATAAAATAGCTACAAAACAGTTAATTATAATATTACCTTCATATTAGGCTAATGAAGTAGGCTACAACTACACTCCCATAGTTTACAGCATTAGTTAAGAGATTTGATTTCCTTGAGAAAATTCGCCATTTATTGCAACTGATATCCAAAATAATCAATATTGAATCAAATCGAATCGGAATCAAAATTGAATCGAATTGCAAGCTTGTGAATCGAAATCGAATCGAATTGTGACATTTGTGTCAATACCCAGCCCCACTGAATACATAGTTATGGATCTTATATTGCATTTCTGTCAATAGATCCTCAGAAATATCACACATTGTCCTTTAAGAAAACTAATATTATTCTTTATTAAACCCTTCTTTTTTTATTATCATCACTTCATCTCTTTCTGCTCTTTCCTGACGTTCTCAGCCAAACTTGGATAGAAGAACGATGTTAGAGTTTTAGGTACCAGACAAGACTTGCTTTTGGCAGGTTTTATTAGTTTTGGACAAAAGACAAAACATCTTTTGACAGGAGACGAGGTCAGATCTGATATATTTCTGATGTGGGATCCATCCGATCTAGCATATTGCTACAGTATATTAATTCTTGATCACATTGTTAATGTTAGTTAACAGAAATGTGACTGTTCATTGTTAGTTCATGTTAGTGCAGGTTCATGAAATAATATAATATACAGAAACTATTTTTGATTTAAGCATGTATTAGTAGATGTTTACATGAACTAAGTTTACTATACGTTTTAGAAGCATTTTTCATTGTTAGTTCAAATTTACTAATGCAGTTAACAAAATGTTAACAAATGAAACCTTCTTGTGAAGTGTTAGTGAAAAAAATATATAAAGTGTATACACACCACAAAATATCTATAAACACAATGATTTTATTACATATAACTAGCCTGTGTGTGTTTGAGTGTGTGGTTTGAAAACACCCATGCTCGTCCCCTCCTCAACGATGCCCATTTTGTGTAAAGTTTCATTTACAACTTTAAAAGCCTTATGTCAAACGTCATGTCCTTGAAGTTTTATAAGTGTTTTGCTAATGTTTCCACTCTTTTGGCTCCATTAATTTATTGCCCTGTCCACTTGTTCGCATCCACTATGTAACTTCAAAAACGAGCAAGTGGACTTGGGAAAGTGAAAGCAATAATGGCGAGATCCACAAGTCGTTAGAAAGGCTCCTACAACAAGTTTTCTACAAGGACTAAACATAGCGGGTTTGTCGTCGGTGCGAAACGAACAAAGTAAACTTGAGTATTACATCACCAAAATAAAATGTTACACACATAAGAGGGGGAGGGGGGACGGCAGCAGGTTTAGCTTCCTCGCTAACTGAGCAGCTGAGCCATTGGTGGCACTGCTGTAGCATGCAACTGGCTAACTGGCAGAACAGACATTAGCAGCTGATCTCGATGTCATCATTGTTCTCTTACCAATGCCCTGGACTTCAGAGGTCCCGGTAGAGTGCCAGAGAGAACAAAGGCGCAGGCTTTAGGGTGTATTGAAAATGAAGATCAGTTCAAAGAGCGAGTGTAGTGCTCAGTGACTGTGGAGGTCTTCACCAGGTGCTTCCATGTCTGTTTACCAGGCAGCATTCTGGGACAAGAACGTCACTGGCTGACTCCAACAGCACGCATGCACCGAGCACGCCTGTCACTGGACAGGATGGTGGTGTGTCAAAAACGAGATCGCTGCCTGCCTAGACAGCATTTCTGGGCGTCGTTCGCGCACTTGTTACGTTCCTATGCGTGTTTGTGAGTCACTTGAGCAGTCGAGACGATTTCACATCAGTTGTCGGACGCGCTCTTGGTTCCCAAATAGGCTTTCTAAGTAGGTAAAGTTAGCCCACTGGGTTTTGAAACGCAGCCTACTGCACTTCGCCATAACGTTAGATCACTGTTAAAACTGCATGTGTAGAACTAAAATCACACTAATCATAGACACATGGACCGAAACAACATTAAAATTACTTTGGTTATCTAATAACGAGAAGTAGAAAAAACTTGCAATTTATGGAAATGCTGTAAAGATTTGCGAATCTTGTGATTCGGAACTTTACAATGAATAAGCTGAACCGGTTCACAAAGACTCGTTGAACCGAGACCCGTTTCGGATATGAACCGATGAGTTGAGGGGGCTATAAAAGTATAAACATGAAAACGGTTCGGCTACATAATTTCAAATATAAAGAAATGTATTATTATAAATATGTTTATACATTGTGTTTTCTCTCTGTAGTACTGTACTATTTTAATCAAATAGGGCCTACATTTTCAAATATATTTTAATACAGCTACAATATAATAAAACATCTCTATATTTTACAAATTATTTACTTTGTTAATTTATTTATTTAGTTAAATTGATGTATTTATTTCAATTAATTTATTATTTAGGCTAACTGAATGTTTTTTTGTTTGTTTTTTTGTTTTGTTTTTTGTCTAAACTTTTCCATGGATCCCTTAGCATTCCCTTGTGCCACCCTCGGTGTCCCTGATTAAAAAAACAAACAAAAAAAAAACCCAGATATTTAAAATGAACTGTTCTAATCAATCTATTTACAGAAGTTGGACCTACCACCACCTCTGTCAATAACTACTAAACTGCATACTACATAATGACCTACAGCATTTCTGGAAGACATGGTTGGAATGTGTTTGCGCACAATTCTGAAATGATTTTTTGGTAATATAACAATGATAAAAAAATGGTAGTTAGGCTGTAATGATTCATGAAACTTTTAAATTGGATCTGTTCAGTGAATAAGTTAAACCTGTTTACAAAATCGTGAAACCGAGACGCTGAAACACATATTATGTCCAGTTTGGAAAGAACCAATTGCTGCATTCCAATTCAGACGCTGCATCCTTTTTTCAGTGGGTGGATTCGAAGGCCGATTACATCACCATGGCATGACGAAGGCTGTCCTCATTCGAAGGCTACTTTAAATTCAAAATGAAGGATACAAACAGATGGCCTTGCCTACTCCAGAATTTTTTTTACACTTTTAAATGTAAATATTGGGTTTCAACTTCATATATATATATAGCGGTTCAAATGTTGCCTTATCTTACTAAGATGTTAATAATATATTTAATTTATACTCTTTATTATATACAGAACTGGACCATGGTGAATATAGTTATCTAGACAGTCTGAAAGTTTAATAACTTCTACAAATTGCAGCATCACAATTGCTAGGCGACAAGAACAATCCTCAGTAGGCCAGGCTGAACCATTTAAGCTGGGGACACACTTAACGGCTAACATTAGCTGAAACATTCTAAGACTCAACTGAACACAGATTGTTTCCAATGACTGTAACAGATTTTAAACACTGACTGAACGCAACTGTCTCTGACTTGTGTTTAAAATCTGCTCTAATCGTTGAAAAGTCTGTAAGTAAGTGTGTTCAGTTCAGTCTTAGAATGTTTTAGCTAGTCAGTGTGTACCCAGCTTTAACCACGCTCAGTCTGACCTTTACCATGGCACAGCCTAAGACGTGACCTTCGAAGGATGCAGCTGCTGAATTGAGAAACAGCGAGCTGATAGTAAACAAAACATGAAAAACCATTTCAGTCATATTTCTTATTAGGCTATATTTATCTTTACTGACATCCATATTAGCCGTATATTAATGACTTTGTTTTTAGAAGCTGAAGCATGATGGCAAAACAACAAACTGAACTTACGTCATGGGTAAAGACCTTAGTCTATGGTAAATACTTGTTGTTTTATCCCATTGTAGGCCTACTATTTCTTACCAATGCGTATTATATTTATGTCCTAAATGACTTAATGGTTTTATAATCTGAAACATGGATACAACATGACGTAAAAGAATGGCTCAATCGGTTTTTGAAAAGATCCTTTTAAACGAACTCAACTGTTCTAGTGAACCGATTCATGTAAACGAGCCGGACTTCGAACCACTGTCAAAAACTAATGAACTGCTTACTTACCAATACAATTACGTAATTCATACGAATGGTTGAAACGTTTGAAAGAGTATTTTACTCAAAACTTTGAATTAATTCAATAATGACGAAACAAAAACCATAAAAACAATATTTGCTGTGATACATGCCGTGGAGTTGGCGGGTTCGGCTCATTTGCTTCGCAACAGAGGCGGAGCGCTGATGCCTTGTGTCCGCGCGCGCCTGTCAATAAAGTTTTTTCGGATAGTTCAGTTAGCCTATTGGAGAATGGGTAGCATCACAGATGGTAAGAATTTCTTTGTTTTGGTGTTTATTTTGTGTTTGCTATTTATTTAGCAAACCAGTATGACCAATTGTAACGGTGCCCGACTAACTTATGTGTATTTGTAACGTTAAACTAAAGGAACTTAATGAAACGAAATGAGATCAACATGAGGAATCATTGCTAAGTTAGTTAGCCATGTGATAAGATAGAACTGATTCACTAAAAAAATGCACAAGAACTATGTATGTATCTCTTACGTTATTTACTGTGATTCCATCGATATTATTGTGGATTTAGGAAAGACTTAGAGAGTGTGTGCGCGCGCGTGTGTGTGTACCAGAATTGTATGTGTGTGTGTGTATTATATGTATATGTATACATATGTATATATTTATGTGTGTGTATATATATATATATATAACAGTCATTAAGTATGTTCTGTGACTTTGGCATACTGGAAGATTCAAACTGTAATAACTAAGCTCCCACCAGATTTGTTGCTATGTGGTTTAAACCTTGACTTAAATGGTATATCTTTGTATCTTTGCAGATGAGGTCATTAGGAAGCGTCTTCTGATCGATGGAGATGGAGCTGGAGACGATAGGCGCATCAATGTGCTCATGAAGAGCTTCTCCAAATGGTGCCACTCCAATTTCTCACCAGAGGAAGGGTAATTTAATCTATTATTAAAATGTGCGAGCTTGGGTCCAATTATACACCCGACATTAGACATTTAGACCTTATTCCATCAATTAGTTCCTACTTAAGGTAAAAATACTTTTCACGCTTGGCTTTGTTGCTGCAGGTTCTCCCAGTATCAAAGGATGTTGACGTCTCTGGCTCAATGTGAATTCTCCATGGGGAAGACCTTGCTGGTGTACAACATGAACCTGAAAGAAATGGAGAATTATGAAGCAATCTATGCGGATATCGGTAAGTCCTCCAGTTGATGTGACTTTGTTTGGTGTCATCATCATTTGTTCAATCACGTAGCGAAATATTCTCATTTCTTCCAATACAGAGACAAGTATAACATCAGCCCATGAAAAAATTGCAGAGTGCAAAAAGGAAATCCAGAGAGCAAAACGGATACGGAAAAACCGCCAAGGTTCAATACAGCTCATTTGCAGAAATCTTAATTATTTTTATTTTATTTGGTTTTATCACTAATTTATTACTGTATGTCTCATTTGTAGAATATGATGCTTTGGCCAGAGTTATCAAGCAGCATCCAGACAGACATGAGACCTTAAAGTAAGTTTGAAATTCTTATTTAGAATTTCCCATTTTATTCAAGGTTTGTTCAATTTGTAGTCTGTGTTCTTTATAATATAACATGACAAACAGGACAGTGAAGTGTTTTTCTGATCTTATTTTTGCAGGCAGCTTGAGGCTTTAGACAAAGAGCTTCAGCAGCTTTCACACATCAAAGAGAATGTGGAGGACAAGGTGAGGGAATGTGGGATTTCTTGATGATTTTGTAGACATATACCATCACACATCTTATAATATTTACTCTGATCTCTCTCTTTTTTGTTATTATTAACCCATTTTCAGTTGGAACTTCGTAAGAAACAGTTCCATGTCCTTCTCACCACCATTCAGGAACTTCAACAGACTTTGGAGAGTAAGTAGTTTATCTGAAAAAAGTTCTAAAGGACACAATTATATTAAAATGAATTCCTAAAACAATTAGTTTTAGTTCAGATCAGGTTTTTATCAGCTGCTGGTTGTATTGGCTAAATTTGTGTTTGTTCATTTTATAGATGATGAGAAGATGGATAGCGACGACACCCAGGAGAGTCTGATGGACAATGGAGACTAGGCATTAGGATGTATCTATTATTATTTACATGAGCACCAGATGTTCTCTCATTTTAGTCTTTCTTTTTTTATTGGTCATGTACAGAATTAAAGTGCTTTCTTTACAAACTGAATCTGTGTTTAAGTTATTTTATTTTAGCTAATGGCCCCTTCTAAATAAACGTTTGGGCTTGTGAGCGTAACATAAACCACCTAAATCAAATGTTACTGTGTACAGTGATTGTGTACTGTGCCACTTAATGATGTTCCACTAAACAAAGTATGGGAGGAGCACATTCAAATAATCAATCCAATTAACTTGTCATCAACAATCATCATGGCTATCCCATCAGCATGAGAGGAAGCATATATAGGCACTCAGTCAATTCACCTACGTTCCTTGACAGTTTTTCAGCATCCCTCCACCATTCTGACACCTCACTTTCAGCTTGTTCCTTCCACAGTCAGGAATACGGGGGGAGTACTCTGGGTTCGGGCAAAATACCGAGCCCGGAGCCCTCTCACCCGGACGGGACAGCACGCCAGATATGTATACCATTTATTCTCTCTGACTTATTTGTAAGTGTGAAAGTCCGGAAGCTTCATAAACTAAATTACTTTTACTACTGAGAGAATGTTATAAACATCACCAAAAATAACCACTTTTAGTTTGGTTTTATTTATCGGTGAGGTCAGACAAAAATAACTTTGTATCCAACATAATAATTGGAAACTGTACATTAATGCAATAAAAACAACATTTTACAAAAAACATTTATGCTTTTTTTTAAAGAGTTTCAAGCAACTCCAATTAAAGGGACCGTTCACCCTAAAATTAAAAAACAACACAATTTACTCGGCCTCATGTTGCTTCTTATTTCTATGAACACAAAAGACGATATTTTAAAGAATGTTGATAATCAAACAGTTGATGGCACAAACTGGCATCCGTAGTTGGAAAAAAAAATACTATGGAAGTCAATGGGTGCCGTCAACTTTCTGGCTACCAGTGTTCTTCAAATTGAATCAACATATCATCTTATGTTCAACAGAAGAAAAAAAACGATATAGGTTTGGAACAACATGAAGGTGAGTAAATGATGACAAGATTTTAATTTAGGTGGTGAACTGTCCCTTTAATGTGTTTGCTGTAGCAATGGTAAATCTAAAAGTATTTAGGCACATATGCAATATTTAGATAAATACATATTACAAAATATCAAACAAAAAAGCAAGTATTTTAAAAGAAAGATAGCTCAAGCTAAATATTTCACTGAAAGAAATTTAAGTAATATAAATATGTCTCTCAACCAGCAGATGTCGCTACTGCCACAATATTTAACACGACTAGACATGATCTATCAATCTCAGATAATTGGAGATTTATAAAAAGAAATATATACAGGTTTGGAACAACTTGAGGGTGAATAAATCATGACAACATTTTCATTTTTGGGTGAACTATCGCTTTAAGATGTAAGAAATATATTTATGCTTAATGATGTAATTAAGTTGTTTTTGGTTTGTACTTTTTGGCTTACATATTATTGTATTTCGAAGCCAAGGTCTCAAATGGCATATTAAGAGAAAGGTCATTCTTTTATGGCATTTCTACCTTCATCTATGCCAAAACTACATTTTGTGGTTGTTTTAACCAGCAGCTTAGTGTCAGTCAGAGGATAATTACAAAAACCTAAAATGTCTGTATTTACCATTTTCACAAAACTGTTGTGTTTTAAAGGTTACAAACAAGGCCTTATTTGGCTGTAATACTTCAGAGCTGCACTTTTTGTTGCTTTTGAAGATCTCTATAGTTTCTGTAACAGACTAAAAGACTGTGTCTGTATTTTCACATACATAGGCTACATACATAAAAATGACAAAAATATTGTCCCATTGCAATGTCACCAGAAGAGCCAAATCTCCATTATCTGGTTTATTCGACACAGGTAAACAGTTCCCGCGTGTACAACATCTGATTATCTCTAATTCTAATTACAGCTGAGCTGTGCACACAGCAAGATGAAGAACAGCTGAGTATTACGCATTCTGCCACATCCATCCTATGAATAATCCAGTGGAGTCGCAGCAGTCAATGGAGTGCTTCTAATTGGGTTCCTGATTTAAAACGTTTAAGCCAAATTCCCCTTGCCCCGAGGAAATGGAGATCAGCTCTCAGGAAGACGCATCCAAATGACTCAGACTCAGATTGGATATAAACATGAAGAACGTTGTCTCTCCGAGTAAACAAAACATTCCCAGCATAATCTTATTGTCATGAGGGAAGCTTTTGCTTGGCGTAATTTGTCCGAGGGCTTCTGTGATAATGGGCCAATTAGAAAAGGTACGGAAACATGGATTTTTTTTCTTCCTCATTTCACCACGTGTCACTGTCATTCTCAGTCAATGGAGACCATTATTTCCTCTTGATGGACATGCTAACAAGAAGCCGTGTTTGCCACTAGACTACTGAAAACCCAATGTGTAAATCTGCATTTGCACCCTGAAATAATCTTCACTGATAAAAATGTGTTAAAGGCAAGCTACGTGGATTTTTTTTTTTTTGTAGCCACATTTTGCAGTTATTTTTAAAGCAAGTTAAATGCCCAGAGGTCACAAAACTAATCTATCTTGTGCCTGTCTCTCCACACACTTTCACTCTCTACTTTTCTACCAGTAAATATGACTCCAGGTTGTCCTAATCTTCCTTTCTGAAAGACAGAGTTTTTTCCTGAGAGCAACTATAACATGCCGTACCACATCTTTCCATCGCTATGGTAACGGCACTGAGGTGTACATGAAAAGAAGTCAAACCAATGTGCTGTAACACAGGAACATTAGATCAGGGCTAGGTCAGAATGGCCCGCTATTGGCAATCCATTCACCCACTAAAGCTGTCCGACGAACAATGACACTCACAGTACACTATGTGAAGTCCCTAAGCTTTGCCAGTTGTGTCTCTAAATAAGTCTCATTTCTGAGCTAGAAATGTTTGCGACTTGCACCTTTGACAAGTAAACTTCTCAAATCACTTTTTTTACTAGTCGATGGAAGGACCATAAGAGTGTTCCAGATACAGAAAAAAAAATCTGTTTGTATGTGTGCTTGTTCTATTCATTTTAGTTTCAAATGGATTTAAAACTTTGATCACATTTTCAAGAAAAGTAGCTTAATCATTATTTTTAAGAGCTATTTTTAATATATTTTTAAAGGTAAAAAATGTTTTCACAAATATCATGAATTGTTATCATTAGGTTTTTGGTCTTTTTGGAAATAGAAAGTCATATGACATTTGACAACATAAACTAACCTTGCCTTGTCTTAAAAGTCTTAAATTATTAGACTATAGTTCAATAAATATATCGTTTTTTTCTTCATGATATCAGGACAGTTGTATCTCCCTGACATTTTGACCTTTGTATAAATCATCCAGAACATGCTTGTCAGTTCAAATCATTGCATATATGAATTATATATTTAATATATTTCCGAAGAAATGAACAGATTAATAGTATCATATCATTGGCCCAAATATAAATTTAAATACATGGATTTTTTTAAAAGGTAAGCTGTCAAAGGTCTTATCCCGTTTCTTAACCCATTTCTTAGCATAGGTGTAGTTTTGAATGTCAATTTCTATGTAGACATAAACCTTGGCTAAGAAAAGATGAGAACAGTCATCATACTGTAAATCTTATGTAAGCAAGGCCCATGAGAAATCAGATATCGTAGAGACTTGTATACTGCACCGTCTGAGTGATTGTCTGCTCCTGATGAATTTCGATCTGATTACTGACTTTGTCTATTAACATAATGGCAGTCAGATAGCCATCAAATTTCATTGCAAGACTCCATATTGTCATTGAGACCACTGATTCATTGTCGTGGATAGAACAGAAGACACTGTAGTCAGTTCAGTCTGAGGAATGCACAATATCTTTATTGGCATCAAAGCATCCACACCCACTGATCGAAAATGCAAGTACTGTATAAACAAGACAGAAACTCATTCACATTGAAATGCAACAGCAATCAGAACAAGAACATTAACATATATTGGGATGTTTTGTCTTGTTTTATAGACTTTGTGGTTAATAAAGCCTCATGCATTTAAAAAGATGGAAGAGGAAGGACATAAGAAAGCAGGGAAATTAAGTGTTGATTGTATTTCAATCACCTTGTGATCATAATAAAGGTCACTGAATAGACAACATGACCCTATTAGTGAGGAGAGAAATTATGTACAAACTGAAACCAGGTCAGTAGCACCTCATTGCAGGACACAAGATCCAGGGGGCGGAGTTGGATCCAGATCTAAGGGGTGGAGTTAGGTAGGATTAGGGGTGGGGTTAGGGATCAGGGGGTGGAGATGGGTAGGGTTAGGGATCAGGGGGTGGAGATGGGGTGGGGTTCGGGATTAGGGGGTGGAGATGGGTAGGATTAGGGGTTGGGTTAGGGATCAGGGGTGGAGATGGGTAGGATTAGGGGTGGGGTTATGGATTAGGGGGTGGAGATGGGTAGGATTAGGGGTGGGGTTCGGGATTAGGGGGTGGAGATGGTAGGATTAGGGGTTGGGTTAGGGATCAGGGGGTGGAGATGGTAGGATTAGGGGTGGGGTTCGGGATTAGGGGGTGGAGATGGTAGAATTAGGGGTTGGGTTAGGGATCAGGGGGTGGAGATGGTAGGATTAGGGGTGGGGTTAGGGATCAGGGGGTGGAGATGGTAGGATTAGGGGTGGGGTTAGGGATCAGGGGGTGGAGATGGTAGGATTAGGGGTGGGGTTAGGGATCAGGGGCAGAGATGGGTAGGATTAGGGGTGGGGTTCGGGATCAGTGGGTGGAGATAGATAGGATTAGGGATCAGGGGGTGGAGATGGTAGGATTAGGGGTGGGGTTAGGGATCAGGGGGTGGAGATGGGTTGTGTTAGGCATCAGGGGGCGGAGATGGTAGGATTAGAGGTAGGGTTCGGGATCAGGGACGGAGATGGGTAGGATTAGGGGTGGGGTTCGGGATCAGGGGGTGGAGATGGATAGGTTTAGATACATGTAAGGTGGGACGAGTTGGATGTGGATTCAACTCCTCCCCCTGGATTTTGTGTTCTGCAGCGAGGACCATCTCAACCAGGTTAATATGTCACAACATCATGCAGTTCATAAATACAGTGCAAACATTAAAGAGCCATATAAATGTGGAATCACAATGGCGTAAACACCAAACCAACAACCACTGGCATGACATTATTCCAGGGATAAGAAATCCAGAAACCTGACAAACAGCAATCTAACATCTATACTGACAAATGAAAACAGAAATCTCTGTTATACATTGTAAATAACAAACACCTGCATCAGCTACTCATCAGGACAGGTATACACTTAAAAGTCGTCATGAAATCAAAACGGACCCCATTGACTTTCTTAAAACACATGCTCTTGTTGTGGAATATTCATCTGTGAATTTTATTCAAAAGATAGTCACAAATATAAATTATATTTATGAAGATATTCATTACTTGATGGAAACAACATTGCCATATCGATGGATGGTGTTAACCAATGGCCATTTACCAAACCATTTTAGCAATTTTGTATTCATAATGGTTCCACTATGTAAAATATGTCACATTTGTAAGTAAAATAAGTTTCAAACAACAATTTATGTTAACTTTATAACACTGTAAAATGCTCTGATGGAGCATTTGATGAATATGAATAATTTTTTGAGGTTGTGGAAAGAGTTTCTTGTTTCACGAAGCAGAGACACTATTTAGATCCCGAATGGACCGTCGGAGTAAAAACTTTTGGTCGTAGTGACATAATGCCACTTTTGTAAACTGTGCTATTTGTGATGTACATTTATAGAGAGGTAAAGTCGAAAAACCATTCAATGCATCTGAGGATATCTTTCATTCATTTTTAAAACATATTAGTATTATGGACAAACAAGCCTTTAGTTATTTATCTAATCAGAAATAAAGGATGTACTTTTAATATATCCATTAAACTAATCTCTTCCTTCCTCTCTGGTGCTCAATGTTTGAACTTTGCCCTTAGAAATGGGTCCCCCTTGTAGTAGGGGATTACAAAGAGGCAGTAGGGGTTACTGATTGGTGTAGGAGACGGGCCCACTTGACGCATAATTTCCCACCTGGCTGTACTCTGATTGGGCGAAGTCCCCCGTTCCAGTAAAAGCAGCTCCTGATTGATCAAAGCTTCCCTGGTTGTAAACCTGCTGGTTGAAGGCCGTGGTTTGTTTTTCTGAGGACGAGGCAGGGTACCTCGCTGCGCCTCCCTTGTGCCATCCAGTCTCTTTAAACACGAACCAGATGTTTCCAGCCCACAGCACGAAGTTCAAATAGCCGAATACCTATGGAAAAAATGGCTTGATGAATACAACATATTTGTATATATTGTTTTTTTAAAGTGTTTTAAATAAAAATGTTGAACTTCAGCAAATTACAGCATATTTAATTTAAAATATAATTATATTAAATTATTTGTATTTAATATACAATATATTTCAATACACACACACACATACGAAGACACACAAATTATATATACATGTGAAACATTGAAACATTTCTTATTTTCATAAAGTTAAAAACAGTTTTGCATTTTAATATTTTGTGGAAACCACGATATGAACTGCATTTACTTGAAACAAAGTAAAAGTCTTTGTTTGTTCTTTCTTTATTGCAACTTTTCAAAATAAAAGTTTTTTTGGATCTTACTGACCCCAAACTTTTGTATTGATTTGAAAGTAAAAAATAAAAGCGCATTTAATTTAATGTAGCCTATATATTTATATATTTTTAATTATTGTAAAATATTTGTCTATACAGTGTTACATGATTATTTTTTAAGTGTTGTAAATTAACGTCTAGAGTAGACACCCAACAGATATGTGTGGCTATAGAGCGCCAAAATCTTAATATCTCATGCCTCACCACAGATGTGTTCAGGCCGGACCATCTGGGTCCGTACACTGAGCTGCACTTGTTTGTCTGCACCTTACATGCAGACATGAGCAGAACCACCTCATCTGGATCAGTTGCAGTCTTCACATCTGAAAGCCCTTTTGCCCACGCAGATGAACTCACTAACCACACAAATGAGAACACCACCGTCACTATGAAGTCCTGGGGAGCATGAAGAAAGTGTGTTACATTTATTATTTGTCAAATTATACTTAAACATTAATAAAATTACAAACTGCATGAAAGAACGCATTACTAGAAGGACTAAATTGAATGCAGGTGTTTTACAATAAATAGCAGCACATGTCTTGTATGTCAGTCTTCTCTAAAAGCATGTCCCCAAAGGGTTGAGTGTTTAGCTTGTCTAAAATAACACCAGGGCTCACAATGAGAGGTCCGCGGTTGTTTTCGCGGTACTTGTTCTGGAAAAATATGTAGACCACTGTGGCGAACAGGGAGTAGAGAAAGGAAAATACAGCAATGGTGACGAAGAACTCTGCGGAGGAAGAAAAATCTCCGATCAGGTAAAGCCGCTCTTGCCTTCTTCCCTCACACATTGGCACGTCAAAATCCACCCGGTTCAACCTGTTTAATGTAAGCCACAAAAACATCATTGTTTTTTATTCAGTTTGCAGTCAATTATTCTTCAGTGTCAACACAAGGCTAGAATGAAATAATGCCCCTTTTGTGCTTTTTTATATTTCCTTTCATGTGTGTAATATAAATGAATGTGAAAGGTCTGTAAAAATTCAAAGATCGAAGTGGAGTTAATGGAGTTGTAGGCCTATGTTACAAAAAATCGAAGACCGGAAGTACATCTTTTAGTAGGGATACGGCTCTTCCGGTTAGCTTTTTACAATGGTGGAGTCTGTTAGATACCGCTGGACCAAATCTCTCCGCCACCTGCCTGAGAACTCTCAAGTGGGAAAGTGGGAAAGCTGAGGTGTGGCTGTCTATGTCCTGATGCAGAGAAACCCGGTACACTACAACAACAGGCGCGGGTAGCTCTAGCCGTTCGCCAGTAAGGTAAACGTTCCTATGGTAACAGTGAATTGGACCAATCAGGAGACGTTGCAACTAAGCTTAGGATTGTGGGTAGTGTAGTTTTTTCACAAGATCGCGGATAAAAAATGTTTTTCTTTAAACTTATGAAACTTATGGCTTCAACAGGAGCAAAAACCTTCATTTCACAACCTCATAGCTCATGGTCAGTCTACCTCGGATGGTTTAGACATTAGGGCTGATAATCTAAATCCTTATCGAGAAATACTGTTGACTGGAAGTTTTGTATCCCTGCTCTGCGTTCCGGAAGCAGGAAGTGTGATATAGGCCTATTGTCTTCCAAAAAAAAAAAAAGAACCAATTCGGAACTGCCTGGAAAGAGTTGTCAGTAATTCCAGCCTGACTTCTTGTGTAACAGAGACCTAGTGAGAGCTGTGCAGGTAAACCTCACTCCCCTTGCCCCAAGTGGCACACTAGCGACTGCCGCTGTAGAGGCTATGGTCTTTAGCATAATTGTTAGCGTGTCTGCCTCCCATGCTAAAAATGCCAGTTCGAATCCTGCTCAGAGTGGTGCGAATAGTACTGGAGGAGTTACAGCTCCTCAAACCAATGTAGGTTTGTTATAAATTATGCATATTGCCCATGTATGTACCCCCCTTGAGGCAACTCAAGAACAATGTCTATTTTGACCCACCCTCATGCACTGCAGTTGTAGCTGAGCACTGTAAAAAAATATTGTTGGTTTAACTTAAAAAATTAAGTAACCTGGTTGCCTTAAAATTTTAAGTTCATTGAAATAGAAAAAAGTGAGTTAATACAACGAAGGAGATTGATTTCATCATCAGTAACTCAAAATAATATGTTATCTGAACTAAATAAATTATTTAAGTTGATTTGACAAAAGAAAGAATGTTGTGACACACCATGAAACAATTTTTTTTACAGTGTGGAAGTGTTTGGTTTGGTTTGGTTGTCAGCTTGTCAAGAAAGACGCTGTTTTCAGTGCTGCGAAAGCAAGTCCACATTGCATGCACTTTGAAAGGATTGTTACGCCATTGTTACTGTTCATATCACTGTGTAAAGTGCCGAGGAAACCCCTGGAGCTGAAATTCAAATATGGTAATGCCGTTTCTTTTCCGAAACACGCTTTGAGCGGTAGACCAAACACAACAGATTTGACTATCTGACCAATCAGAGCAGAGTAAGCTCTTGAAAAGGAGGGGTTTAGAAAGACTGGATTTAGACACTGTGAGAAAAGAGGTGATGCTGCAATGTTTATTATGAGAAAATCCAACTGTTTTTTGACTTGAATGCATATAAACATGATAGAAGACCTCCAGAAAATTAGGAACCGGTATGGGCACTTTAAGTTCCTGTCACAAGGTTACTTTAGTCCCTGTCTATTTCTGCTTTCTTTTCCTTAGATGACTATGAACTTGTCAACTCTAGTGAATACAGCTGGACCTGAGGGCTACTTCAAAGCATTACTGTGGGCATCTTGTGTGTGTTCTTGACCTTTCAGGGCAAAAAAAAACAAAAAAAACAAAAAAAAAACAACAACAACTTGGACACATAATGAGGCTACAGAAGAATACCAGTCTGTCGAAAACATTTTCAGCCACATAATTCTAGTGGTGATTCAACACAGAACTCTATAGTCTCCTGTTCTTTAAATTGGCATGGTATGATTTCATGTAACTTCATTACCACAATGGATAACAATGAAGACAGACCTGATGCATGATTCTAGCGTATGTGTCAGCCAACCCATTTATTGAGTACAAATGGGTGAGTGTGTTTCTGTTTGTCTGAAATAATTTCTCATCTCTGAAAGTGCTGAATTTTTATATATAAAAACACAGAGACACACAGAGACAAACAGGCCTTTGGAAATATGTAAAATGTATGAATCTTTCAATTGGTAATCAGTCATTTACTGTATTTGGGTCATGAAAATACTGAATATACAACTTTGATTCACTGATTCAAACTGAATTGGTATTTTAATTTGATATCTCCATTGTATACTGTATATAAAATATCAAAGAATGAAAGAAATAAAAAATAACATTTTAAACTTTTAAAAATGAAGGACCATGTGACACTGAAAGACTGAATTAATATCTGCAGAAAATCCAGGTTTGCAATCACAGGAATAAATTACATTAAAATATATTGCAATAAAACTGGAAACTTTTGCCCTTACTGTATGCCATTACTGTATGCCTGATCAAATAAATTCACCCTTGGTGAGCAGATAAAGAAAAAAAATCATAATTATTCCAAACGTTTGACCGCTAGTGTATATATAAGCGATTTTATTAGCACTTACATGATGTAAAAAATCATTCATTTTGACAAAACAATATCTGATTATACTGAGGATCTATAAACATCAGCCCAAATAGCACAATCATTTAATTTTACAAATGAGCTCGAAGCTGGGAGTTGTGTTTCCGTTCAAAACACCGAAGCCAGCTGTGCTCACCGAGAAACAAATCTTGTAACTGGCAGCACACAGAGAATATAAAGATAAAACCATTAGCACATAATCAAATGCTCCTGTGTATTCGAGTATTGAATCAAAGTGAAGTAATTATCTCTCTCTATTGCTCTGCAGAGTAAACGCAGAGGTGCTTTAAGCTGACCTTACCTGAATGGGTAAGCAAAGTTGATGCCAATACTGAGGTTGCTGTCGGACTTGTTGATGCAGTCCACGCTAACCCGCAGTTGCCCAGAGTAACCCCCACATGTTGCAAATGCAAAGATGGCAAAAAGCTGAGGAGATATAACATGCAGAACAGTTCAAGTCACCATGAAATCAAAATGAACCATTCTTAATTATTGTGTGTGTGGAATGGATTAAAGCAATATTTATTAGAAATTATATATACACACACACCATGTTTTTTCTTTATTTATGTTATGTTATTTATGTCAAAATAATTCCCCTCCCTTTTGCAGCAACATCTCTTCGCTTCTTTGCATGACGGGACAACCTGTCATTCAATGGACAAAATCAAGTCCCACCTTATTTTTTTCTTGTCCCAGAAGCTGTTTAGGAATCGAATATCACACCAAAAATGGACTCTGTTGTTAATGGTTTCGAGTTAGAGACGTATTGAGGTTGAGCTTATACACAGGCCTAAAAAACTCTATAAATCTTATTACAAAAATGTTCGTAATAACTCGCATCACCCATGACCTGAAATGACTTTCCTTTTCAGCTGATGTCACCAAGCACTTCCCTTCAATCACCATCATTTCCTGATGAATCAATTCAAGTCATGTCACATTTTTTTCTTTCAAATATCCGATTCACTCTGAAATCATACATCATACATTAGGCTACATAAGTTCAATGTTGGCTTTATAATTACGAAAAGTGAAGCGAGATACTGTTTCCACACCAGCTTAAAGGACGGTTCCATCTAGAAGAGTTAATTGCTCTAATCATAGTTTTATTTATGGATTAGCTGCAACAACATGAGACTGTGGTCAATTTCAATTAAGTCGGACTCCCTGTAAACAGGTGATTAATTCTCATCTGCAGATGTCAAGCACATTTGCAAAAGGTGTTTGCAAACACTGACCACACACACAACGAGGAGCTCTCTGTCTCTGACTCGACTTTAACATTCCTCTTTAACACACAGATTCTCTCTCTCTCTCCACAGATTCTTCTATTACCTCCACCTCTTTCCCAATCTTTTTCTCTTTATATGTCCATTATCCTTTTTTATTTAGACTATGGATCTATTGTGAAGCCTATCTTATTAGGTACAGAGGACAAGCTCTCTGAGAGCAAAACTGACTCGTCTAAAACACATTTCTGCAATACTGATATGAGAATGGGCTCTCTCTAGGCGATATATCTCTCTGAACAGGTATAAATCATTCTGCAGATATGCAGCTTGGAAAAAAAATCAATGATAAGAATATATTCAAAATTCAAAAGAGAGCATAATGTGAAGGACTGAAAGCGTGATCGATATAGTGCTCAAATTACAAAACATAAAGAATCGTGGCAAAACTATGTTAATGATGCAATTATTGTCAGTAAATGTAAAAAAAAAATATATATATATATATATATATATATATATATATATATATATAATAAAATAAGTACTGCAACACAAACTTTTTCCCTTAACAATTAAAAGTGAATTATGTCATGTAAAAATAAAAATATTATATATTTTTTCAAACAGGCTCCCCCAAATACTCAGCACATCTCCCATTGGTCAGCCGAACAGGCAGTCCTGTCCTAAGCTCACATCATTGGTTGTTTCCATGTCAGGCCACAGAAACAAATGTGATTTGATTACAGATTTTTTAAAAAGAAATTTACAATGTTAAAAAACGATTTCTATTTCAAATAAATGCTGTCCTTTAGAATTGTCGATACTTAAAAGATTTCTTAAAAATGTATTATGGTTTCCACAAAAATAAGTAGATGTTTTTTAACATTGATGATAATAGGAAATGTTTACTGAGCATCAAATCAGCATATAACAATGATTTCTGAAGGATCATGTGACACTGTAATGATGAGTAATGATGCTGAAAATTCAGCTTTGCATCACATGTATAAATTCTAAAGAGACATACGGGTGCACTAATAAGCATTAATTTATGCTTAACTAATGTACAGATAATACTGAATTAATGTGTAACTAATGATTATTTAAGCTATTCATTAATGATGACCACATTAGGAACTAATTAAGAGTCTGTAAGGTTAATGTATTAGTTCATACATGAATTGTTTTTAATTAAATATGTAATTGTGGATTAATAATAACTATTTTTTTAACTAATAGTGTTAATTAATATGTTAATTACCAAAATGAGCCAAAGCCTTGTATTTCAACTTCCAGATAACATGACAGGTACACTAATATGCATTCATACATGATTAATTACTTCATTGTTAGTGCAAATTCATGTGCAAATTACTACAATTACTAAATGACTAGCTAATAATGATGTGCCCCAACAAGTAAAGTCATAAAATAATGATACCCTTGCAAATCATTAGCTAATAATTAATTAAAGCAGACAACTGAAAGTTGAAGTGCATAGCTTTGACTAAATTGTGGTAATTAACACATTAATTTACTCTATTAGTCAATAAAATATGTTATTAAGGAATTAATACACAATGACACATTGGATTAGCAATTCATGTATTACTTAATCTATTAATCATACAGACTCTTTATTAGTTGCTGATGCAGTAATCGTTAACTAACGGTTTAGTTCTTCATGAGTTATACATTAACTCATGATTATCTGTGCATTAGTTAAGCATGAATTAATGCATATTACTGCACCCGTATTGTAAAGTGCTACCGACATTCTTTTAAAAACATTACAAAATCATAGAGGTAGGGTGTGTTACACAGTAATTCATATATATATAAAACATTTACAATATACACATTGTTTAAATATAGAGATTTCCCACAAAATCAGAACAGAAAACGCTGGGAAAAGGTGCAAATTTGCAAAAGAGACTTCAGAAGCTACTTCAGATTACACATATTCATCTTGGATCACTTACTTTTTCATATAGTCCTTTGTTAGACTATTTTAATAGATTTACAGTCTAGCTTATTACTTTCAGTCTACTGAGGATACAGTTTCCAAACAAGATACCTTCAACGATTAATAGTCAGTCACTATGGTAACACATTGGACATGCAGTGTACCCCCTCAACAACTGAACTACAGACAATTTTGTTTCCAAATCCAGTTTACAATTTCTTAAACCTCAAACAAGCTCAAATCGGCACAGATTCATTCCATATGGGTCCAATGACCTCTGAAACACTGGAAACCAAATCGCTTTTTTGCATAGAATTTCATTTACCATGAATAATGAGTCATTCATAAAACAGAAATAGAAATCTCACTTCATCAGAATTATGAATGATTCAGTATGGTGAGAGAGCAGTTTTTGCACCTAAAAGGTCTCTTACACGCTGACAAATGGGATGTTGGGAGAGAAACTGAAGAAACTGCACCACAAAACTTACAAAAATCATTTACAACACAAACTACCATAGAATATTATTAATATTAGGCCAATTTAGCTCCATTAATCAATAACTATGTACCACCGGAAGGCAGCCACCAGACATGCAGAGATTCTGAAGCCAGGACTTACCGGAGCAAATATGACCATACACATTTAAAAGCAAAAGAGATATTCAGAACATATTAGATGCTCATAAGCGTATCTGTATCTTCTCCTCGCCTCTCTGCTCTATCTCCTCGTCTTGTGAGCTTGTGACTCCTCGACTGTGAGCTCAGGAGAGGGTTGGCACTTCTGTGTGGCTCTCAAAGTGTAACCCTGCACTCCCTTCTTTGGTCTACAGTTTGCTCTGCTCTACAGTCACAAACACACATGTCAGAACACAGAGGAACTCCCTAACTACAAATCACTTCAGACATGAGTCAGACTGTACACTGAATGCTGCAGATTTGCATTCAGATGAAATATATGAAATCAAGCAATAAGGGCAGACCCGCAGCTAACAGGGAACGTTCACTGACAATTTTCCAACGCTCTGGCAAGGCTGTCTCAAAGTTATGAACAAATATTCTTCTAGTAATGTTAATTCGAACATTCGTTCATTTGTCTGGTCTTTGAAAATTAAAACTTAAAATGTTATTTATCCATCGTTCATGGAATGTTTCTGATGCATTTTAGATGCATGCTCGTCCAATGTTTTTAAATGTTACCATACGAGTGCTGAGTAATCGCAATTAATCGCTTCTAACGTAAACGTTTCCAAATATACAAAATGTGTGTGTGTATATACAAACTTTTATGTTAGATGCGATTAATAACGATTATTTGATTTGACAGCGACAACTTGTTCAGTTTAGAGAATATTCAAAAATGTTTGCAAAATGTAAGGTTCTTTTAACGTTTGCATAACCAAAAAATAAAAACATTAAAAATATTTAATGTTTAGCATGTTAGTGGATAGTTTAAAGCTTTATTGATTAAAGCTATTACACACTTTGTACTTTAAACTTCAAATGAGAAAAATATGAGTTTTAGAAGAAAACAATACAACAATTTTTGATCAAATAAGATTAAAACACACATATTTAAGGCTAATATGCTGTTTTGTATTTGCTTGAAGCTTGAACTGACTTAAAAATGATAAGATGTCCCTTTAATGATGATACACATAGATATTTATAAATATACCTTAAATTTTTAAAAAGTTTCAAAGCCCAAAAGACACCCTACTAAAGTTTAATGGAAAATACAGTTATTTTACAGCCTTCCTGAAAGCAGTCACATGAGTTTAAAGCTTTCAAACCCTTTATTAAAAATGGGAAACTCAATTTTCTCAAAGCTACAGCAATGCATTGAAAAAGATTAAACTCATTTTTTAGGGCTGAAAGGTGCTGTAGCCTATCAGTAATAATATAAAGAGCTGAATTGGAAGATCCCCATATGTTAACAAATAAAATTTCCTGTAAACAGGCAGCATGAGACTCTGATCTGAATATCAATGTGACACTTCAACTCTATGTAAGGCACATTTTTTAGCCTTGCTGTTAAGGCAACAATAACGTTGTATGTTATGAAACTGATGGCATGTCGATAATAGTGTTAGAGTTTATTGTTACTGTCATGCCTATTTCAGATGTATGGAAATGCCAGCTCTGCTAATAAACAACATGATTAATTACCATAGGCAACAGCTAATATAAGAAATCACTGGCTTGTCATTATGGCAAAAACAATG